CCGGTGAGCGCCCCCGCGGACGCCTGCGCACCTGCCGGGGTGTCCGTGTGCCCCCCCGGGGCGGAGGAGGAGGAGGAGGAGGAGGAAGGGCAGGGGGAGAGCCTGTGGGGCGGGCGAAGGCCCTGAAGGCAGAAAAACCCCGACGGGCAGGGCCGGCGGCGGCTCCTCCTCCCCGGGAGTCCCCCCCGCGGTGCGCTCCGACGGGTCCGGTGGGGGTTCACGTCGGGGGGGAACGTTTTTTCCCTCTTTCCCCGTCGAAGCCGGGGCCCGGCAGCGGACGGAGCGAGCACCCCGGAGCCGTCGGGGATCCGCGACCCCGGAGCCGCCGGGGATCCGCGGCCAGCCCAGCGCTGAGCACCTGCGGAGGAGCGGCGGCCCCGACGGGGCGGTGCGGCCGCGGGAATGAAAGAGGCGGGAGCCGGCAGGACTTCTCCGAGTAGGTTTTTGTTGGTTTTTTTTTATTGAAAGATGTGAGAATTCATCAAAACTGAAACAGACAGATACCCGAGTAACCAGCACGTTGCAAATCATGTATCTTTTTTATTTTAAAACAAATATAGAGCACAGTCCTGTGATATTTAAATTTATTATACTTTTTTTTTTGTTCTGGAGTGAAAAATAAAAACCTGAGGTTTATTCCTGCATTCTCTATACCCCGCACTGTAGCGATATTTTAGTTACGTTTTGGATTCATTTTTTTTTTTTCCTTGCAAAAGTCCGTTAAAGAATTGAACTCTTAAGTTTCAATGACTCCAAGAATTGTTTTACCGGTGGCACATGATTGTCCTAGAGAACAGGCGGGATAAACAATATTTTAAAACACAGTTAAAGAAACCGATATCTCCTTCAATCACAAAGAGCTAAATAGTTTTCATTTACAATATATATGTTCATGTAAAATGAAAAAAAAACCAAAAAAACAAAAAAAACTTAAATGCGATGAGTTAAACTCTAGATATTATGTACACACCAATGTACAACTCTGAATAAATTAATACCAATTTGCATATTCTGGGATCCTTATAGCTTATTTACACAAATTACCATTTATTTCATAAATATCTGCCCGGGTACCCACGGGGCTCCCCCCCGCCGTACCAGCTCTGCGTGGCAGCGGCGGCTGCCAAGGCGGTTCGTTTCCCATGTTTCGTTTCTTTTTTTTTTTTCCTTAATTATTTTTTCCTCCCCCCCCTTCCCCTTGCACAGATGAGGTTTTGGCCCCGCTCACCTTCCCGGAGCTGGGGCTGGGGCCGAGGTGGGGGCCGCCCTGTCCATCGGGTGCCTCTGAGCAGGCTCGTTGCCCACCCCCCTTCCCAGAGCTGCCCAGTGCCCGGAGTGGGGGAGCGGAGGGGCCGGGGGGGTTCCGTGGCCTCACCGGAGCGGGGGGAGCCGCTCCCAGCTCCACAGCTCGGGGAAGGGGGGGGACACGGGCAAGCCCTGCGCTCCCACCTCTTGCTCCTGACTCTGGGGCGATGGGTCCGCTTGGCTGGCGGGGCTCCATCCCTCTGCTCCCGCACCCCCGCTCCCCGTCTGCCCCCACCCCTGGCTCCGCAATAAATATTTATACTGTGCTGTACAAAATACCAGTGCTTCTCCGCCCCGCCGGGAGGGCTCGCTGCCCGCCCCGTCGGTCACTTGGGGGACTCCCTGCCGGGTGACAATTCCCGCTGGCTCTCCAGCCCGCTCACCAGTCTCTGGATGTTTTGCAGTTCGTTGAGGGACTCCTTCAGGGAGCCCTTGGGGGAGGCGGCGGGGCGCTGGCTGCCCCCCTTGTGCAGGGGAACCTCGGGAAGGGGGCTGGATTCCCGGCTGCTGCCGGCCTTGGAGCCTTCGGAGCCGGGGTTGAGGCTGGCGGGCAGGCCGGTGGTCAGCAGGTTGGTGCTGGGTGGGATGGTGACCGGGAGCTGGTAGGGGCTGAAGCGCAGGCGGGGACGGCTGCTGCCCAGGAAGGGATTGCGGGAAAGCGGCCCAGCAGCCGCCGCGCTGGTGGCCGGCATGGCCGAAGCGGCCGCCGCGGCCGCCGCCATGTAGGTGTAAGGGTAGGGGAAGAGTCCGCCGAAGGTGGGCATCGGGATTCCCTGCAGAGAGAGAGAGAGAGGGGTGAGAGCCGCGACGATGCTCTGCTGCGTCCCCCCCTCCTGCTTTGCCCCTCGAGTTGCGTCCCCCCGAGAACGCCGAGGCAAAGCTGGGACACCCCGGTGTTGTCCTAAAAAATCCAGCGTGGGGATATCCCTGTGGGATGGGCTGAGGGAGGGGGTACAGCTGGGGAGCCCCATCTGCCCCGCACCGACCTGGGCTGGTGCTGCTGGGCACAAACCCCAAACCGGCACCTGCCCGGGGGTACGGCACTGCGGGGTCGTGCCCCGTCTCTGCCCCCGTGCCTGCGCTGGGTGTCCCCGTCTGCGCAGCATCGCGGAACTTGACCCACGTTGAAACACGTTGTTAAGAAGGATCGATAAATTAGGGGAGTTTGAAGACATCTTTACGCATTTCACGATAGGGGCTGGGCAAGGCAACACAAGCGCAAGCGTTGCGGGAGCCATTTGGGGGCTGGCAGGGAGATGGGGGGGGCTCCTAGTTGGGGACGGCCAGGTCAGGCAGGACCACGGCTCCTCACTCTGCCCCTGCCTATGGGGGAGCCGTATCAGCTGCAAAAAAAAAATTAAAAAATCAAGATTCCTCCTCAAACCAGCCCTGAGGCCAACCTTCGACACGTCCCCCACGTCCTGCCTGTGCCTCACCAGGCGGCTCGTCAAGGGGCCGAGGGGAGCGTCACCCCCTCGTCCCCACAGGCTGCCGGGGGCACGAGGGAGGCTGGGGGGCACCAGCAGCTCCTGACCCTGTGAGAGCTGCGCCGTCCCAACTCTGGGGGGATGATGCCAGCCAGGACCTGCCCCGTGCCCCCAAAGCACTCCGTTCGGTCAGGGAGAGGAGAGCCCAGCGCCCGGCTGCGCAGCAGGGATGGGGACGGGGACACGGGGTGGGCACGGGGGCTTACCTGAGAGGCCAGCATGTGCTGGGAGAGGTGGAACGGGAAGGGGGTGGCCGTCCCCGCCGTGCCCGGGGCGGACGAGAGGGCTCCATTCTCCAAGCTTCCCCCGCCAGTCACCGAGGCCAGCAAGTGTCCCATGCCCATGGCGGAGAAGGCGCCGGGGGCCATGGCGAACTGTCCCGGGTGGATGAAGAGGGGCTGCCCGGCGCCCAGGGGGCTGAAGAACTGCTGCCCGTGGAGGCCGGAGAGTGCCAGGCTCTGCAGGTGCCCGGCGCTCAGGTGTGGGGGGCTGTCCGTATGCACCATCAGCGGGGCGAAGGCCTCCTTGCCCAGCCCGCCGCCCTCCGCGTCCTTCTTGCCCGGGTCCGGCTCTTTCCTCCGTCCTTCCACCTTGTCCTTCTCCAGGCCCCGTGTGCCGAACAGACCCTCGCCGGGACCCTCCCGGGGGGACGCGCCATCCTTGGCCTTCTCCGGGCTGCGCCTTTCCTTGCTCCGCTCCTCCGGGCACCGGGGGCTGCTGCGGGGCGTCGCGTCCTCCCCGCCGGGACTGGCCGCCGCCGCCGGCCGTTCCTCGGGCGCCTTCTCCACCTCCGCATCGCTGTCGGCCCCCGGCTTCTCCTCTGCAAGGGGACGGAGGGGCAGAGGGTCAGAGCAGAAGCCCCCAGGGGAGGCGAGGAGCGGGTCGCTCGCGAGAGCCCCGGCGTCGGGGAGAGGTTGCGGTGGCAAAGCCCCGATCGTTATTAATGGGAGAAACTCCTGTCGGGGGGCAGGAATGGGCCCTCGTGCCGCGGTCGCTCTGGGGAAAGGGGATTAACGACAGCAGCCCTGTTGCTCTGCCAAACAGGAAAAACATGTTTGATGGAGGACCAAAATCTATTACGGCATCGCTCTCGTTAGCTGCAAACTCAAAGCGGGCCGCGGAGTGGGGGATGAAGAGGGCGCGGGCGGGTGGACAGCGCTGGAGGAAATGGTCCTGTATATATTTAATTACATGGAGCTGATCGACAGCGCGCCGTGGATTTATTCCAAATGTGCAGGTTGAGGCAGGTTAAAGAGGCAGTTTGAAGGCAAGAAGTGTGGTACCGTCTTTCCTAAAAGGGGCTTTAATTTAAAAAACCCATCGAGCGCTCAGAGGAGGAAGGGGGATGAGAGGCGAGGGGATGGCGAGGGCGAGGGGAGCAGAAGCCCTGCCCGCCCGGCTCCCGCTAAACGAAAAAAACATTTTGGTGCGGGTTAGGTGAAGCTCTGCAGGCTGGGGCAAATATTCGGGGAAGCCTTTGAAAGAGGAGAGGGGTGTAATAAACCCTCCCACCAGCTCGGGGCGGGGGGGTTGCAGTTTTGATGAAGGTTTGCAGGGAATCGGGCTGGTGGAAAGTTTAAAGAGCAGATTGGTAGTGCGGCAAGACAAAACCCAGCATCTAAAAACTGCAATGTGGGAACTGCTAGTTTATTTTCATTTACTAGCTTGAAGCCCTGGAGTTACAACATTTTTTCCCCCTTTCCAGTGTATTAATTCTTTTTTTTTTTTTCCCCCAGGGGAGTGCAAGCTAGCCATGAAAGGCAGGGCACGCACCACCGAGGAGCCGGGCAAACGTGCCTAGCACACGGGCTGCCTCGCCATTTCTTCTTGTTTACGCTTAACGTATAAACAGGAAAACGTCGCAACCCATGAATGCCATTCGCATTTGCTCTGTTCTTGCCCTTTCAACCCTCGGGCTCCTTCGTGCCAATCCCCAGGGGAAAAAAAAAAAAAACCCGGTGGTTTGCCTCTCTGACCCCCCAAAGAAACCGGCACCCACCGGCCCCGAGGGAGCAGAAACCCCGACGTTTGGAGAAATTTGGGAACCGGGCCTCTTCCTTTACCTCTGCCGCTGCCCTTGAGGCGCAGGGGGCTGGGGAGGGCGCCCACGGGCGAGTGGAGGGCGTCGCGCACGGCCGAGGGCTCGCAGGACGAGGCGTCCGACTCGCCGCCGTCGCGGTCGGGCTTGCAGGGCTCCTCGTACATCCGCAGGGACGGCAGCGAGAGCTGCTTCCTAACGGGGCGAGAGGTGACGTCGGGCAGCAGCCGGCCTTCCGCGGCTGCGGAGGGGGCCGACACGGAGAAAGGGGTAGGGGGGGAAACAGCCCTTACCTCTTCTCCCGCCGGCCATTGCCCGTGTCCCGAAAGCCCTTGGCAAAGGGGTTGTTATCGATTTTCAGCTGGGTGATCTGCGGGGAAAGAGGGAGAAAGGAGGAGGCGTGAAGCCTTGCCCGACCCCCCCCCCCAAGGCCGCCGTCGGGGAGCCCGGGGTGCGCTGCGCAGGCTGCGAAACGCGCCGCGGCCCCGCTTTAACACACCGCATGCTTTATTAAAAATGATGCTGAGGTTTGGGCTTGAATTATTAATAGGGTCTTAATGATAGGAAGTTATTTTTCACGGCCCCCCGGAGGGAAGATGGCGACTGAGCCGCGCGGCGCTGGTTAAAAGCTATTCTTATCCCTCCCCGCCACCGGCTTCTGGGGCCGGCGACATTAGGGCGCTCAATAATGCATGGCTCTGCAATACGGCCCCGAGAGAGGGGGCTCGGGAAAAAGGCACCGCTCCGACCCCTCGCCCGGCCGCCCCGGGCCACGGCAGCCCCCTCCCGCTGCCGCCCGACGGGGCCCACCGGCCGGCGGCTGCCCCGCTCAGCTTGCGGCGGGCGAGCAGACAAAGTGCTCTTTAATCGATTGTGACTCTTCGCCATAAACTTTACGAGGGAAACAAGCCCACCAGGACCCTCAGACGGAGCTGTCAATTAGCATCAGCAGCCAGGGGTGGAGGTGGGGGTCAGCTTTTGGGTTAAAACACACACGCATCCACACATAACCCTTGGAGGGGGCCGGCGGATGCTCTCCGCTCCCCACCGAGCTCCCCCGGCTCTGCCGCTCGCAGGGCAACACTCGCTAAATCACGAAAGCAACTAAAATTAGCTTCTCTGGGTCTATTTTTTCGGCGCTTCCCGAGCCCAGGGCACCTTCTGCGTGAGGCTGCCCCGGCCGCTGCGCTGCTCTCTGCAGCCTGGGCCCGCAGCAGAGGCTCCCACAGCCCGGGAAAGGTGCAATGAAGTCCAAGAGGAAATTATTAATAGTAATAATAGAAATGCTAATAATAGCATTAGTATTAGGAATACCAACAGCAATACCAAGAGCAACAGCAATAATAGCAGCAGTACGAAGGGTGCCTCCTGCTCTGAGGGCTTGGGGCTTAACCTTCCTCCTGGTGCCGCCTTTTTGGTCACTCTCCCCAAAAACATCCTCGGGCGCGCACGCATACGCAAATCCACCCTACTAAGGGGTAAGGGATGGGAGAGGGGTGAGAGCAGGGGTAGGTGCAGGGACAAGGGGTAGGGAACGGGCAGGGGCAGGGACAGGGCAGGAGGGGAGGGCAGGGAGAGGGCAGGGGCTGCCCGGCCGTACCTTGTCGTTCTGGTAGGCAGTGACGGCGATGAAGTCGGTCTCGGGGAACACGTAGGTGCGGAAGGTGCTGTAGGGCAGCTTGAGGATGTCGTTGGCCCGGACTATGTGGAACCTGGGTTGGTACTTGTGCATGGAGTTCAGGATGGTCTGGGTGGGCGAGAGAGCACAGCCCGCGGCTGCCGTCAGCCTCACGGTCCACGTTACGCACGCATCTAGCTATCTCCCTAAAAAAAAAAATCCCTTTTCTCCCGAAAACAACCCCCCCAAAAAAAAAGATACACAAATTCACCGTGAGGAAGGAATGCCGGCGGATGGCAAAGAGGGAGATTTCTTTTTTGTTGTTGTTTATGCCATTGCACGATCTGCCCCCGCATAAGGAGGTCAGGGGAAGGCAGGCACAGCAGCATCTTTGCGGGTGTTAAGCACGGCAATAAAGCAGCAAGAGGGATCTCCCCGTTTTATTACAACCCTGCAAACGCGAGGCGAGTTTTCGACACGTTTCTCACCGCTTTTCCTATTTCCGTCCTTTAAAAAAAAATCAGAAATACACTACCTCACCACCACAAAAAAATAATGTTAAAAAGCCTCTCGATTTGTGTCGGTGGCGGCAGAAACCCGTGCCAGCCCCAGCCAGCTCCTGCGACGTGAAAGGAGCGTTTCACCATGAGCCATGTTAAATTTATGTCTCGGAGCAACGCTGCAGAAGGAACAGACTTTTTTTTTTTTCCAACCAGGTGTCTGAAAGCCTCGCCAACACTCAAAGCCATTCTCTACCTACCCTCTCGGCTTTTTTTTCCCGTGTTGTTTGTTTTTTTTTTTTTTTTCCCAAGAAAAAACCCAAATTCACCGCGATTTGACCGAGGATTTTCGGAAGCGGCTGAACCCCCCGAGCCGCGCCCCGGGGGCCGCTCCGACCCCCTGCCCGCACCCGCACGGCTTCCCTGCCCGATAGCGATTAAATAATTCCCCAACCTGCTGTGGTCGGGCTGAAATGCAGTATTCACCGCCCGGAATTGGTAGGGGAACGGCGAAAGATTGAGTAATTATAGTCAAATAACGTCGGCCAAATGGCTAAATAATTATCACTTCATTTCGTTTTAGAAGGCAATAAAAAAAAATCCCCCTTTTTTTAACCCCAGCAATAATCACCTGCTGACGAACTGTCGGATCGCTATTATATTGATATCATCTAGACGGGATTTATTATGAAAATGGTGCAAAAAGTCTCATTCGGGCGTGCAAATCTGCATTCCTTTAAAAAAAAAAATAATCATCCCTCTCTGACCAGATGGGCACTGGCTAAACCCTCATCTCCCAGATTTAACACAGTCCGGATTTTGGACAACGACAGATACCAGAAATCTTTAATTGAAGGAGGCAAACCGTTAAAAACGCTGAATCAAACTAGTTTTTCCCCCAGTATAAAAAAAAAAAAAAAAGGCTATTTTTTAGACTCCCTCTCTATCGATTTACCTTGCTGTCTATAAATAACCGTGCAATGTATTATTTAACAAAGACGCTGTTTCCTGCCTTAAGAGAAAAAAAAAAAAAAAGGAAAAAAAAGAAAAAGAAAGAGAAAAGTTACCCGGGGAGCTGCTGAGCTGCTCTCCCCACCTGAGCGCCGTGTCCCGCGGCTGCCCCACGGCTCTGCCGCCGCTCCGCCCGCCTCGGCTCCCCGCTAATTACCGTATCACCAACGCTGGACGATGAACTTTCCCTTTATCGCCCTAAATGCTTGTCCAGAGGCTAGAGATAGCTGGCTTGGGCGCTGTGATTTTTTTCTCTCTCTCCCCCCCCGCCCCCCTCCGTGCATCCACGCAGGATCACGCTCCCCTCGCGTTTGGACCGTGCTTTCTGCGGATCTCTGCAAACTGCCAACACGCTTGGGTTTCTTTCTTTCTTTCTTTTTCTGTCTTTCTTTCTCTCTCTCTCTCCCCCTCCTTTGTTTGGGTTCTTAGGCGGTTTTGGCTTTATTTTTTTTGTTTTGTTTTACCTCCTTTAGCTGATGCAGATATGATCATTAGGGAAAGAAATACGGCCTTTCAGAAGCAGCCGGTGCGGAGCCGTGCCTCCCAACAGCTCCGCTCCCTGCTCCCGGCCACGGAAACCCAGCGCAGGTGCCGATACCTCCAGCTCCGCTCCCCCCCGGTCCGGCCCGGTCCGCCCCGTCGGGGCTGCCCCTCGCCGCATCCCCCGGCCTCGGCCCCGCACATCCACTCCCCCCGCCGAATCCCGCTCCCCGCAGAGCTCCGAGGGCCGGGGAAAGGCGACAGGACAGGCCGAGGAGGCCGGGAGGGTCGGGGATACGGGAGCCAAGGGGAGCCTGAGGCTGCCCGCAGCCCAAATCTCCCTTTCCCCCCCCCCGAGAGCGGGGAGCTGCCCCTCGGGGCCGGGCAGGAGCAGGGGCCGGGGGGCTGCGGGATCAGCCAGGCCACCGCAGGGCCCGGCAAGGCCCCGCCGGCCAGCCTGGCCCCGGGGGGGGAGAAGCCGGTAAAACCCAGCGGCTCACCCCCCCCCGGTAGAGCAGAGCCGGGTAGCCCCGGCACCGGGCAAACCCCACGCCTGCCCCCGGGGTCCCCGCTCGGGGTGGTGGATGTCCCTGCTCGGGGGGCTCCGCTCTGCCCCGCAGCCTCACTTACAAAGCCGTGCTTGTCCGAGATGTTGTTGGTGAGCTTGAGCTTGTGAAAGGCAACAGGTTTGGCCATCCACTGCTCCCCCGTGGCCGGGCTGTCGGGGTGGATGTACATGCGCTTGGGCATCTCCGGGTCGGCCTTGCCGGCGACCATCCAGCGGGAGTTGTGGAACTTGTACCGGCAATCGTCGGCCGCCACTATATCCATCAGCAAAATATATTTGGCCTTCTTGTCCAGGCCGCTCACCCGCACCTTGAACGGGGGGAACATCCTCCTGCGGAGAGACCCAGAGCGCTACAGGGCTGCGCCCGCCCGCCCCGTCGCCGAACCCCCCGACGGCCGCGGCCCCGCCGAGCCGCTCCGCACCGCCCCGCTCCGGGGGCTGCCGCTCCGAAACCACCATCTTTTAGTTCAGCTTCACCGAGGATTTCCAGCCTTTCTCCCGTCCCGCTGCTCCGCTGCACCCGCCGGGGGCAGAAAGCCGGCCGGGGGGGGTGTGGGGAGGGGGCAAGCTCCAAAATCCCATGCCGGGAAATAAATAAGGGGTGAAAAAGCATCCCGGCTTTCACCCCGTTTTCCCTGCCCTCCGACCAGCCGCTCCGCTCGCCCAGCACCCGGGCAGCCCCCGCCGCTGCCCTCCCCCGGGACCGGGGGACACGGGGAGGACCGGGGACGACCCCCGGCCGCGGGGCAAGTTTGGCAGGAGGGAAGGGAAAGGGCGAGAAGCGGCGTAAACAAAATGCAGCGAGGGGTTACGGGCGCTCAATTAGCGCGCCCAAATTTCATTTGGGAGCGGGCTCGGAAAAAAAGTAATAATGGGGGGGGGGGGGCAGCTCAGAGGGGC